ACCTGTTGAATAAAAGTTAATTATAGCAAGTAACTGCGAATCAGATTTTTATTAGGCACCCGTTGCTTAGTATAGTAATCCATTCGCGAACTTCATTTGCTGCAAAAGTTGGGAGCGATTGTAGAGGGAGAGGATTGTGGTAGTTTATTTTGGGATGGTAAGGTGCTTTGAAAAATTCCAATAATTAACATTGGTGAAGACGGAAGGAAGTGACATAACTAGATCGCAAAATTAGACTTTTAATGGCAGCGGTGTTGCGTGAAATCTAGTCGATGGTGCGTTGCTGAAGTACCATCCGGGTAGAATGCACGTTGAAATTTCAAATTTTTAACGTGGCTGGGTTTTGCATAGTGCTGGGGAAACAGGTTTTAAGGGTGACTCCATGTCACTCATTGTATTCTGGGGTCTGCAATAGTTGCAAGGCAAGTTTCCAGAGGTCAGTTAAGTAGGAAGTTTTCTGGGTCTTTTTATGTCCTTACTCGTACCAATCTTTATTGGAATAAGTAGGAACAATATAATATATGACGAAACAACATTCAATAGATAAATAGCAGGGGAATGACATAAACTAAGAAACAATACAAGAAAGAAATATGTAGACGGTATTGCCCATAGGTCGCTGTAGGACTGAAAGCGGCCTTGTATTAGGAATACTCAAGAATTAAAAAGGCAACGATGAGCGCTCTAGACAAAAAAGCCAACTCCTAGTGGCACAGAGGAATCTTCTTTTATAGTAAGTCAAGGGTGTCCTCAGGGTCCTCAGGGTGTGGTCTTTGACGGTGTAATTGACCTAACACCTGGAGCAAGTGGTGTTTTGTCTAATGACACTGCAGGCCTGACCAGTAAGCTCAAGGGAAAATTGCATTTTCAGTAATTTGATAGGTTCCAGATGATTGGAGCAAAAGTTTGACGATTCTTGCCTAATTCAAACCGCACAATGTAACGAGAATTTTCATTTTAGTGGATTTGAATTCAAGTGAGAGTTGGGTCAAAAAGTAGTTATCTGATACAACAATCAAAAAATGCTCACATTTTTCTAGATGAAGGGTGGTTGTGTCCAAAAAGTTCTTTGGAGTCTGAAATATCTCGTTTATGAATTTATTTGAATAGCACGAGGATCTGTCTTTTTATTTTTGGAAAACTTCTCGATATTTTTAATTTTATTAAAATTGGTTTAATTTAAAAAATCGCTTCAGTAGGATTGTTTCGACACGGTTTGAATAGGAAGCGAGTGAATTTATTAATACTTTGGTTTTGTCTGAGTCGGTTTCTGGGCCTGACATGTTGGACGTTTGTCGCTTAATTATTTGGGGTTTTAAGATATGGCTTCTTGGGTCACTGTAATTCAAGAAATTGTTGGTCATTAATTTTTTTTTTTTGGATTTTTTCACTTCCTGTGACAACTCTTTAGCTTATCGAGTTGTTCATTTTGAGTTGAAAAAGTTAATTTAAGAAACTGTTTTTACTTTACGATAAGGCTGGCTGTTGATCCAACACACGGATGCTGCGGTTCTATCGCCGCTTCCAAACTGTACAGCGGAACTGCATTGTTGTCATTCCAAAAAGAATCTTGAAGCAGAGGAGGGTTTTTGGACTCAGTGTCTCCTATAATTGTCTCACCAACCTGTAACGAGAAACGGCATTACGTTTAAAAAGATGTTAGGATTATCAGTGGCAATAAAAGCCGAAATTTTATAGTTTTTTAAATAAGACTTTGAACCAGTTACAGAATATGAGAAGTAGACAAGCCCTTAAGTTTCTGTCGACAATGAAGTTGATTTCAAAGTTGTCGTCGTCTTCACCCCACGGATTCAAAAGCGACTCAGCAACTTTACACCATCCAGTGAGAAAGATAAATTGAACTATTGTCATGAACGGAACGTAAGGATCTACCTAAATACCTCTATGACATGCCCTTATTTACGGTCTATAACGGAAGAATTTAAAGATGCTATTTTTCACATTTGCACAGCATTCAACAGCGTAATTTTTCTGTGAAGTTTTTATTAAAGTTTATCGCATTTCAAGAGAGCTCAAAAAATTTTTTAAAATAAAATAACTTACAGCTTTAAAATCTAAACAACTTTACTCACTTTCGTATCTCTTTACAACTTACCAACTGAACAAGTTATGTTGCATAGAAGTTCAACTTTTTTTGGTGGATTTTAGTTTTACGTCTCAGCAATAAGCAAATGCATTGTAGATTGAAATCAATATACATTAGCAATAAAGCGCATAAATCTTTGTGCAGTTTTTAACTTTTGTAGTTTGTAATGCAGTTACCCAGGAGACTTTGCAGCAGATTTTTGCTTTTGTGAAACGGTGCTGTTTAAATGAAAGTTAACTTTCGCAGATAATTCTCTTCCAGTTATTCAGGAATATAAATGCGCTACAAAGCTGGATGGCTGAAGT